GGGAGACTTGCGCCCCAACCGGATGGGGGCGGAGAGTGAGCAAGGACTGGCTGCTTTCAGGCTGAGTGTCTTGGAAGGAGATGAGTCCTTGGAAGAGGCCAGGGTGTGGTGGACAGAAAAGGGCCTGAGGCTATGAGCTCTGATCTGGGTATGGGATTTAGTGGTGGCAGGAGGAGAGGACAAGGCCACAGGCTGCAGGGCTCCCTGCCTGCAGCCCCCACCCCCTGCCCTCCTCCCTTAGACCCCCTCCCAATAATCGCTCTTTTTTTTTTTTTAAGAATAATTTTAGGGACCAGCAGTTGGCATAAAGACCATGTCACTGGACTCCCATGTAGTCGACCGCAGTTTGAGTGCCAGACCCAGTGGCTTAAACTCACGCCGGGCGCGTGTGCATGCGTGCCCAAGATCCCGAGAGGAGAATGGAGGAGAAGGGATTGCAGCGTGGCCATCCCCCCTGGGGGGGTGATTTCTCGCTCTCTGTCTCTCTGTCTCCCTATGTCTTTCTGGCAAGCACACACGCCCTATAGCAGAAACCTCTCCAAAAAAGAAAAAGAATTCTTTTATTTAACTTTATTAATTTATTTTTTAAATTTGACCAGAGATGGATAGAGTGAGAGAGAGAGGGTAAGTGAGAAAGCAAGCCACCAGGTTCAGGACTCAAACCACAGTCAGTCATGTGAGAGTCCAGCGCCCTTAACCACCATGCCATCTGCCGACCCCTTGAGTGTCTGTCCTCTTTAATGATTAGTACCAAAATGATTCACCTTTATGAAGAGCCATTTTAGACTCTCAGGCACTGCCATGAACGTGTGTTTACATTTGATGTGTCCTTGCGGGGTGGGATCCCTTGGGCTCAGCACAGTGTCTGGAAGGTGCTCAATCAGTGTGTGCTGAGTGAAGGAATGAACAGAAGCACATCAGTGTGGTATTCCCAGTATCCTCACTGTCCTTAAGGAAGCTGAAGCAAGCTGCAACTTCCCCAGGGATACAGGGTGATAGTCACCAGCATGCTAATGTTGTTTGTGGAGCCAGACTTTCCCACCTGGGAGGGGAAATGGCTACCCCTGCTAAAAAGGATTAGGTCCTAAGTGGAGCTCTACTTTAGAAAGGCCACTCTGGGGTCAGAAGATGGTGTAGAGGTTAAGGCACTGGATCCTGCATGGCCAACTGCAAGGTTGGAGTCCTGGACCCAGTGGCTTGAAAATCACACTGGACACAGGACCAGCAGGTGGCGTAGTGGTTAAGGAGCTGGACTAGGTTTGAGTCCTGGACCTGGCAGCTTAAGACTATGCTTGGCACATGTGCGTGGGAGCCCAAAATCCCAAGAGGAGAATAGAGGAGAAGGGATTGCAGTGTGGCCATCCCCCCAGGGGATGTTTTGTCTCTCTCTTTCTCTCTCTCGCTGGTGAACACACATGCCTTATAACAAACTAAAAATAATTTGTTTTAATTAAAAAAATACAAGGACCAGCGAATGGCATAATGGACTCCCACGTAGTTGACCACAGTTCAAATCCCAGACGTAGCGGCGTAAAACTTGCACCAGGCACATGTGCATGGGTGCTCAAAATCCCAAGAGGAGAATGGAGGAGAAGAGATTCTGGCATGGACATCCCTTCTGGGGGTGATTTCTTGCTCTCTGTCTCTCTGTCTCTCTCTGATGAGTGTATGTGCCCTATAGTAAAAATCTCTCTAAAAACTTTTTAAAATAGGGACCAGCAGTTGGTGTAATGGCTATGTGGCTGGAGTCTCATGTAGTTGACTGCAGTTTGAGCCCCTGGTGGCTTAAACTCACGCCAGGTGCATGTGTGTGTGTGCCCAAGATCCTGAGAAGAGAATGGAGGAGAAAGAATTGCAGCATGGCCATCCTCCCTGAAGGGTGATTTCTCACTTTCTGTCTCTCTGTCTCTCTGTGTCTTTCTGACAAGTGCATGTGCCCTATAGCAAAAACCTCTCCAAAAAAAAAAATTAATTATAAAAAAAATAGAAAGGCCACTCCAACTACTGGCATAGAGACGGTAATTATCTACGGGGGAGCAGCAAATAGGGCAAGAAAGGAGAAGACATCAGTGACATGGAGCCAAGAACTCAGAAAAGGGCTTTTTTTCTGAAACTGTGGCTTTATGAATGGAGGACAGTAGAATTGGTCTCAAGTGGAGAAGCCCCTGAGAGCAGTCTGAACAGTAAGATCAGAAAGTTGGAGGAGAAAGACAAGGCAAAGCAGAAGGGAAATGATCTGGGATTAATCAGATCCAGACACTGCCAGCTGAATCAGAAACTCCATTAAGGGACTGAGTCAAGATGAACTAAGAGTTCCTTTGTGCATTATCACCCTCCGTCTCTGGTTTTACATTAGTTTGTTCCAGTGGTTCTCAAAACGTGGTCTTTGCTTAGCGGTATTGGCAGCATCTAGGAAGTTGCAAGAAATGCAAATTCTCAGGCCCCACTCCAGACCTATTGACTCAGAACCTCTAGAATGGGGACCCAGCAATCTATGGTTTTTGTGTTTTAATTCCCAGAGAGTGCGCGTACAATCACATGCATATACATGAGAGAGAGACAGACAGACAGACAGAGAGAGACCCCCAGTGGGGCGTGGTCATGCAGCAGTTCTCTATCGTATATCTCTCCATCCTGTTGGAATTTTTGGCACTCAACACGCACCTCCAGGATGATATTTGTGTGGGCTCTGGCTCCCTTAACCACTAGAATATGGAGCCAGCCTCTCGCAATCTGTAATCAATTTAACGAGTCCTCCGAGGAATTCTGATGTATGCTGAAGTTTGAGAACCACTGGCTTATCTGTAAATCTCACCCTAGTGAAATGAGACACAAGACTGGTAAGGTTTGGTAGGATATCAAGGGAAAAGTTTGAAACCTGGACAGTTGCCAATATTGGCAGATCCTGGTGGTTCTCTATGATGGGCAGCATGAGGTGTGGCGTGTCTAGAGTTGGGGAGGGATGCCAAAAAAAAAGCAGAGGGCAATCCCTGCAGGGAGCTAGAAGGGTTCTAAATATTAATATAAGCTCTGCATCCACTGGAATTTTGCATTCGTTCCATGCATATTCTCTGAATCCCTACCGCACACCAGTGACTGTGCTAAGTGTCAGAGGACTTTAGAAAGAACGAGTGACAGGGCCAGCAGGTGCTATAGTGTTCAAGGCGCTGGACTCCCACGTGGCTGCCCACAATTCGAATCCCAGACCCAGTGGCTTGAAAATTGCCAGGAGCGTAAATGTGCGTGCCCAAAATCCCAAGAGAAGAACAGAGGAGAAGGGATTGCAGCATGGCCATCCCCTCCTAGTGAGGAGGATCGATTTCTCAGTTTCCTTCTCACAGTCTCTCTCTGTCTCTCTCCTTTCCAGGTAGCGCACATGCCCTGTGGCAAAAAAACCTTAAAAAAGGAAGAATGAATGACAAGAGTCCTTACCTTGGGTGAGTGGTAGCACAGTGATAACACAACTGGACCCACATGGGAAAGGTTCTGAGTTTGTGTCCTGGGCCCACACATTGCCCGTGCTCTGGGCCAGCTGAGACTGGGGTTAGATCATGGCATGAGGACCCTGTTGGGGGTGCCTGTTTATCCCTCTCATAGAAGAAATGGAGGACTGGACTTTATTTATTTATCTTATGTCCATGATAGAGAGCACATGTATGCACTAAAGAGAGAGAGACCCTTGGCAGGGTCATTCCACTTAGATCCCTTTCCCCAGCCCTCCAGCTCCTCAGGATCTTGGTTGGGCACAGGTATACACACTTGGTGTGCTTTCACACCATCCCGGGGATCCAAACCAGCGGTGAGCCAGCACTGTAGTTCAGTTTTGCTTCTGGGCCATCTTTGTTAAAAAAAAAAAAAAATGTCTCAGCTTCTATGTTGCAGCCAGTAGCAGCATACTGGACTGCAGAGTTGCAAGCCATGCGCTGACCATACACGGTTCAAATCCCCAGTTTGGCTGGCCTGAAAATGCACCACATACATGTATATGTGCCCAGGATCCTGACAGACTGGAGGACTGGAAGAAGGGGGTGGGAGGGTGACTCAGCCCTGTGGGGGGAGTGTCTCTCTCTCTCTCTTATCTCTCACGTGTGTGCACATTCTCTGTCATTAATAATAATATCCTAAAACTTTTCCAAAAAATAAAAAAAGGGACTAGCAGTTGGCATAATGGCTATGTTGCTGGACTCCCATGTAGTCGACTGCGGTTTGACTCCTGGGCCCGGTGGCTTAAACTCACGTGGGGCGTGTGTGCATGCATACTCAAGATCCCAGGGAGAGAATGGAGGAGAGGGGACTGTGGCGTGGCCATCCCCCCTGGGGGGGTGATTTCTCCTTTCTGTCTCTCTGTCTCTCTCTGTCTTTCTGGCAAGTACATGCGCCCTGTAGCAAAAACCTCTCCAAAAAATAATAATAATATCCTACCTTGGCCATAGGGAGCTCCCAGGTAACTCTACAAACAACCAGTAAAGTGATAAATGATAGAATCGGTCAGGAACGAGACCCTGGCAAGGAAGAGACCCAGAGAGGTGAGTAAAGACACCTCAAAGAAGAGGCATTTGGAGTGAGTCCTGAAGAAGGAACAGTAGTTTATCTGGCAATCAAGTTGCGGGTGGGAGCAGTAAAGAGAACAGCATGTGTAAAAATCACAGAAGCAAGGGTGGAGAACATTCAGAGAACTCCAAGTCTTGGGCGGGGAGTGGTAGGAGGAGGAACAACGGCCGTAAGGGACGGAAAGATAAGATATGACCAGATCTGGATACATCACATTGGACAGAGCAACTCGCTTAGACTTTCTGCTGCAGCGTAGGGGGGTCTCAAGCCACACTCTCTGGGGACAATGCCTACTCGGGCCGCGTGGTCCTGAACAAAAGGGTTGTTTGCAATAAAAAAAAAAAAAAAAAAGAAAATGGGTCAAAATTTCTCTATTTTCACTTTTTTACCATAATTTTGTTTTCCCTAAACCTTTGACAGATGCTCCTGCTTATCAGCTAGCAAGCAACAAAATGAATGAACAAGTAGCAAAGAAATATTAAACTGACAATCCCAGCATTGATCATGCCTAATTCAACAGTTCATTTTTTTCGTGGACATCTGTGCTTGTGCCTAGGATGTTGTCTTGCACACACATAATGTAGACATCTTTTCTGCTAGTGCAAGTGTTCTTTTGAAAAGCGTTTTATTTCATATGGTGCAATTTAATACATCAATTATATAATGGCGTTCTGGAAAGAGCACCACGACATCGCATGCTATGCCACCTGAACCAGTGGGGGAAACTGTCCCTTAAATGGTGAAGAGTGGCTGAAGAGTTTTGAGCAGGAGAGTGACATGAACGGACTTCCCTTTGGGAAGGTCACTCTGGCTCCAGCTTAGAGAAAAGATTGGAGCAATGGGTAACTAAAGCAGTTAGGACTTGAGAATCAGGATACTCTTGAATCAACTCAGGCGAGACGCAATGGTGACAGTGACATGGGAGTGGAGTGGCATGGCGGGAATAGAGTCAGCAATGAAAGGGAGCACCCATTAAAAGCCTTGGGTGTCATGCTGAGGATGCTGAAGCTTCAACCTGTTGGAAATTAAGAGCCTCTGATACCACGTCTTCATAGATGGTACTGGTATCACAGAACCATCAACACCCGAGTCACCAAGAGTGTTTCTTACAGATGCAGAGGCCTCGGTCCCACCTCGGAGATGCCGAATCAGAATCTCTGTACGGGAGAAGGAATGTGGGTTTGGAACAGGTTCTCCAGGTGGCTTCGAGCCACATCAAAGCTGAGAACCATTGCATGAATGCTTATCAAGCTGTGGCATGACACAATGAGATCTAGGTTTTTACTCATCACTTGAGTCACCGCATGAAGAACTGATTGAATGAGAGCAAGCCTACAGACAGGAGACCAGTTAGGAGGATCCTGCAATGGTCCCAAACAGCCTTTATTCACTGGGCAGGAGCTCGAACTCAAGAAGAGGTTGGGATTCCCATCCACATCATCATAAACTCGTTATCTTTATACTCTGGCCTGTACACACTGATTCAGACAAATGATACAGTTTTGCATTTCCTCAAACAATTATTATTTTTTTTTAATCACCAGAGGGCATGTGCACTCCTCAGGGAGAAAGAAACAGAGAGAGGGAGAGGGAGAAAATACCTCCAATGGTATGTCATGACAAACACACATGGACCCGGTGTGTTTCTCAAGCCACTAGGGTCGGGGTTTGAACTGTAGTCAGCCACATGGGATCCAGATCTCGTAACCACTAGGCAATGTGACCAGTTCTGCTCAAAAAATCTGTTTGACAAAATAGTCCTCAACAGTTTTCCTAGAGTCATACAGTATGAAATTATAAAATGCATTGGGCACTTAGTATACCTCGGGCGCTACACTAGGCATTCTGGGATGTATAATGAAATTAAAAGTATGGTTTCTATTCTCAGAGAACTTCCTTTCTAATTTGAAAGGATTTTTTAAAAAGACTTAGTTATTTATTTTTGTTATTATTATTATTTTAAATTGGCCAGACAGAGACAGAAAGAAAGAGAAAGGGAAAGTGAGAAAGTAAGTCGCCAGGTCTGGGACTCAAACTGTGGGTGGCCATTTGGGAATCCAGTGCCTTTATCCACCACACCACCGGCCCGCCCATATTTATGTATATATATGAAGGAACATCAGAAAAATTTGTGGATAAATGCAATTAAAGTATTCATTTATTTTGGTGCAAAAACTTTGAAATGCATGCAGTTTTTTTTTTTCGAGAGGTTTTTGCTATAGGGCGCATGCACTCGCCAGACAGACAGAGAGACATAGAGACAGAAAGCGAGAAATCACTCCCCAGGGGGGATGGTCACGCTGCAATCCCTTCTCCTCCATTCTCCTCTTGGGATCTTGGGCACGCACACACACGCGCCCGGCATGAGTTTTAAGCCACCGGGTCCGGGATGCGAACCGCGGTCGACTACGTGGGAGTCCGGCGACATAGCCATTACACTAACTGCTGGTTCCCTGCATGCAGTTTTTTTTACAGTACACATTTACCATGAACATTTTGAAGATCTCAGACACACACACACACACACACACACAGACAAATGACACACAAACATATACACCTCACCAAAGTCAAACATCAAGTAACAAGTACCAAATATACCATAAGGCAGTACTGATTGTCCAATATACACCATAAATACCAATGTTCTACTTCTTAAGTTCACAATAGTTACGTGAGTGTGTGCTTTATAAATATTAATTTTACCATATCTTTATGCTCTGAGAATTCTTCTGGATGTGTGTTACATTTCATAAGAAAAAAAATAAGTTTAAAAAAGATAGTTAGGGACCAGTCAAATGGCATGATAGTTAAGGTGGCTGGATCCCACATTGCCGGCTTTGCAGTTTGAGTCTCAGATTCGGTGGCTTGAAAAACACACTGGGCATGGGGCTGGAAGGTGCACGGTGGTTAAGGACTCTGGACTCCACATGGTCAACCATGGTTTGAGTCCTGGACCTGGGAGCTTCCTTTCTTACTTTCCCTCTCTCTCTCTCTCCTCTCTTGCTCTATCCCTCTCCGGTCAAAATCAAAATTAATAAATAAGTTAAATAAAACAATCATTTAAAGAAATAATGCTTAAGGGACTTGCAGGTGGCATGGTGGTTGGGAATGCTGGACTCCCACATGGCCAACCAAGGTTCAAGTCCCAGACCTGGTGGCTTCCTTTCTCACTTTCCCTCTCTCTTTCTCTCTCTCTCTGGTTAAATTGGAAAATAATAATAAATAAAGTTAAAATAGAGTAATTCTTTTTTTTTTTAAAAAAAAAGGAATAATGCTTAAAAAAAAAAAAAAGCTGCACTGGGCGTATGTGTGTCTGTGCCCAAAATGCCTAGAGGAGAGTGGAGAGAACAGATTGTGGCATGGCCATCCCCCTGGGGGGTTTTCTCATTTTTCTCTCTCTGTCTCTATCTCCAACAAGCAAACACACTCTACAGCAAACCTAAAAATAAATAAATAAATAAAAAGACCATTAGTCCCGTGAGTTGAGTGACACTAATCAACAGTCCATAGATATGGTACAGAATCCAGAGAAATACGATGTCTACCCAGTGACCTTACAGTCTTTCACAGAAGATTAGCCATAAAGATAGAGGATTCCGGGACCAGCAGTTAGTGTAATGGCTATGTCGCTGGACTCCCATGTAGTTGACCATGATTCGTGTCCCGGACCCGGTGGCTTAAACTCACGCCGGGCACTTGTGCGTGCCTGCCCAAGATCCCGGGAGGAGAATGGAGGAGAAGGGATTGCTGCGTGGCCAGCCCCACTGGGGGGTGATTTCCTGCTTTCTGTCTCTCTGTCTGTCTGTCTGGCGAGAGCATGTGCCCTATAGCAAAAACTTCTCAAAAAAAAAAAAAAAAGATAAAGGATTCCAATGAGAAGACACAGAGATGGAAAACCATGGTAATGTCATCTTGGTGAGATACTGGCTTCCCTGACGCCACCACTAGTCATCTATTAGGGTGACGTGTCCATTTGTATCAATCTCTCCATTTTGTATTTATGTACTGATTTATTGTATACCTATATATGTGTACACATATATGCATATGCACCTGTACATGCACAATGACTTCATTCCAAAACAGATTTTATGAGTCAATACACTAGGAATAGTTTGTCAGGACCAACAAAGAGAGAATTCAAGGAGCCAGCAGGTGGCGTGGTGGTTGAGGCACTGGTCTCCCACTGGTCTCCCTCTTGCTTTCTGTCTCTCAGTCACTCTGTCTTTCTGGCGAGTGCACCCGCCTTGTAGCAAAAACCTCTCAAATGTCGGACCCCACGGTGAACAGTTCCTGAGTTGGGGGGCGAGGATTAAAGAAAGACAAGAAGACAGGACAGAAACGGGAAGACTGCCAGTCAGTACTGGTCAGCCGTGGATGTACTTTATTGCTAGTATGTATACACACTCCAGAGACTTCTGTGATGTAAGGTTTTAAGTCCTTACTGAATGTATCAGGTTGTTATAACAATACTTTGGAACATTCAGTTCAAAACAATCCCAAAATATTCTGCTCATAACAATCCAGCCACCCAAGGCCAAATCCGGATAAAGACCCTGGTCTTACTCTGGTGGACACGTCCTGCACATTCCTCAGGGCTCCTCTTTGGCTCCCCACACACAAAAACAGAAAGAAAGAAAGAAAGAAAGAAAGAAAGAAAGAAAGAGAGAGAGAGAGAGAGAGAGAGAAAGAAAGAAAGAAAGAAAGAAAGAAAGAAAGAAAGAAAGAAAGAAAGAAAGAAAGAAAGAAAGAGAAAGAAAGAAAGAAAGAAAGAGAGAAAGAGAAGTAAAGAAAAAAAAAAATGCCTGCAGTGCATTCAGACATGGGACACCAATTTGGGGACAAACTGCATCTGTCAGGTTCCCAAAAGCAAGCTAGAAGTGGTAATGTCTTAACAATTAAGTTTGATGTTATTCTCAGTTTAAAATTCTGTTCTAGTCACTGCCTCCCCTCCCAAAAATAAATAAAATTAAATAAAAATAATTTTAAAAAGAGAGAGTTCAAATATACTATTTCTAGTGGACTGACGTAATTGCTGTGATTAAGCTTTGTATTAGTCTGGATTCCCAGAGAAACAGGCCAATAGGGGAAAATGCTTTATTTTAAGAAATTGGCTCACAAGCTTATGAAGGCTGAGAAGTCCCATAATCTACCACCTGAAAACTGAAGACTCAGGAAAGCGAGTGGTATCCAATTGTAGACAGAGTCCAAAGGCCTGAGAACCAGGGGAGCTGATGGTGTAAGTTGCAATCCAAGGGCAGAAAAAAAAAAGTAATGTCTCAGCACAACAGAGAGACGGACAGAGCCAATCAGTCTTCATTTGCCCTTTTTTTAATCAGAGAGATTTTTGCTATAGGGTGCATGCACTCACCCAAGAGATAGAGAGAGACATAGAGGCAAAAAGCTAGAAATAACTCCCCCCCCCAGGAAGATGGCCATGCTGCAATCTCTTCTCCATTCTTCTCTTGGGATCTTGGGCACACACACACATATG